CTCTCTCTCTCTCTCTCTCTCTCTCTCTCTCTCTCTCTCTCTCTCTCTCTCTCTCTCTCACACACACACACACACACACACACACACACACACACACACACACACACTCAATCTTTTGAGCAATCAATGTCCCTGAGGATGGCGGCTTCCAGGAAAGTAGTCTGAGGAGATGGTGCGAGGGCTGTGCTTGTTGTGCACGAGCTTGCCGACCAATAAGATAATGTCCGCAAACACAATCTTTCACAGCCTGTGTCGTCTTCATTGGGTTTTCAGTCTTCCCTAGTGAAGGAGACACGCACACGCAAGCACGGACATTGCCTGGTGTGAAGTGGTCTGCAGCAGGATCAGCATCAGATCAGACAGACGGTCCAGGTACGTGCCAGAGTAGAGAGATGTTGTCGATTAACGGTTGACGAGAACAGATTGGGCTCCCAATGATTGTCTGCGACAACGGATTGCCACGTACCGGTGAAGGAGGTAGATGTAGTAGATGCGTGAGTGCGTGTGTGTTCAGAAATGATCCCACGGCGAATCCGCCATGCAACTCCACTCTTTCAGTGGTACACCAGGTCCACCCATAGCCCATCACGTGCCGTTTGAACTGCCACCCATCCATGCTACCTAGCCAGCTTAAAATGCTGGGCCACACGCAAACAACCAAACAGGCAAACCACTACTGCCACTTTACTTCTCTGAAGCTACCTCACATATCCGTGGCTAACCACAACCAGTTTCCTAAGTCACACATAGGATGGAGGGCATGGGGGAGGCGGGAGGGAAGATAACACACAACGACATCAGGTAAGCAATGAAAAGGCATGACATGATAAGGCATGGGATGACAAGTAACAGCGAAGGACAAAGGCTGGAGGTGGAAGGGCAGACGACACACAAGCACACCAAGCAGGTACACAGACACACCAAAACAGGCAAACCGAAAAAAATACAAGCCCCAAGAAAGTCGAAGGACCGAAAAAAATAAAGGTTGGTGATGAAAGATTGTTTCGTCGGAATTGCACCGACTCATCAGGAGGCTGAACCGTCGACAATCTGCGGAATCCCCGTATTTGATGGTTTGGGTCATGAACCCTTTGACCCATGTTGAAGGCAGACTGTCCCCAAGCGGGACATAGCAGCGGGCAGCAACCCTGTGGAGCACCAGGCAACACAGTAGAGGCAACCCAACTGCTTATCGCCAAAGACGACTGCAAGGAACGGCAGGGCAAGCGGACGAGCAGCTGGACAACCGTGTGGTGAAGCGCAAGGCAACATCAGCAAGGCGACCAGACTACAAGGCACACAAGCAAGTAAAGGACGCAGAAGGCCAACAGGGCAAGCAGACAAGCAGCTCGGCAACCGTGCAGTGGAGCACAAGGCACCACCAACAAGGCAACCAAACTACAAGGCATGCACGCAAAAGACACTGAAGGCCGACAAAGCACACGGACAAGCAGCTCAGCAACTGTGCAGCGAAGCGCGAGGCACCGCCACAAGGCTACCAAACCACAAGGCACGCGAGCAAAAGACACATGAGGCACGACCCGCGGGTAAGCGGCAAGGCAGCAGAGCAACAAGGACGACCTGCAAAGCAAGCGGCACGAGCAGCAAGACCGCAGTAGCGCGCAGACAAGACGGTCTACACATCCAACACGGAGCAAAGCAGCACATGACCTACTCACATCACGATAGAACCCCGCAGACTGTTGGCTCCCACCACCCGCTGAGCCAGAGGGATACTCTGACGACCATCCGCCATCACCGACAGGCAACACAGACATCCCGAACCGAGCGCCCCCCCTAAGAGTGCAGTTGGCACTCCAAATGAGGAACCACCGACTGTTTGGCACTGCTAGAAGGTGCTCGGCAAGAGACACAAAAAGCACTTAGAAAAAATAGGAGAAAGATGAAAAACAAGCATACCTAAAACTGATTGTGTGTGTGTGTGTGTGTGT